TTCCCCCCCCATCTTGACCGCCCCCCTGCCTTCGCCGCCGAGCACGGACTCCGTCGGCTCCCGCCGACCTGGTACCAGTGGTTGGATCCAAGGGAATTCCGGAACCCAAACGGTCCATTACCGCGGATCCGGGGTGGGCGAGGGGTGAGGGGGCCGGGTTTCCGAGAAGGGGGAGGGGGGAAGGCGAAGGCCGCCTAGGAGAGTCACGTGTTGGCTGCTTCCGCCGGTGCTCGAAAGACCTCGCGAGAGTTCCGTTCCCCCTCCCTTTCTCCCCCGTGGGCTGTCGGGAAGAAGGTCGGCGCTCGGGGTTGCCACGGGGAGGTCAGCCGGTGGGCGGGGCGCATGCATCCCACACCTGCTTTCCTAGTCAGGCTAGGAGGGGCCCGAAGCTGTTTTCAAAATCTTTTCGGTATATGGCTTTGGCCTAGAAAGTTACCTAGTGGCGTCTCTGTCACTTTGAAAAGCTTCAATACCTTAATTAATTCTAGAAAAAAATACTCGCATATTCATCATTGCTTTTTAGGTTCGTTCAGAACACTTTTCAATGTGAAACCGCTAATAACTTGGAGCCCCTCGGCTGGTCCACTGCCATTATCATATCCTAAGGAGTGAGAGCGCAGTCAGCCCCCCTTCTTTTTTCCTCACACACACACACCAGGGAACCTGAACAAACTATTGCTCTCAATGAACGTTTACTGCAGATCCGTCGCTACCACCTCTCATTTCCTTATTTTCATATTATCCATTATGATTATTATTACTACTACTATTAAGTGAGCCAACACAGAATAAACAAATTAACTTCTTGGTAACCCTTTTGTAGAGTCATTCTGAGAATGCTGTTTGACTCCGTTGCTTAGGTAATGGGCACGCCTGGGTGATTCTTGCCCCCTACCGGCGGCACTTCGCTCTTGCCTTGTGCTCAAAGCAAACCAAGTCGTTCGGAACACGTGGAGGTTAAGATGTGAGCTCTTGGAGAGATAGTATGGGGCTCAGGGAGAGGAGAAAAAAGTAGCCATGATAAGAATAATTGTGAGTCTTCAATTAGTGCTTATATACATAAATGCGTATTAAATATGTGTACATATAAACAAACGTTTTAAAATTGCTGACTAATCACTTGGCTTATCACTTTACTTCTATTATTTCGTTCAATCCATACGCACACACACACACACACACACAACCTATAAAGGTAAAAATAATAAAAATAGTTCCGTAAGAACAAGGTCCTCATCTGTCTTACTCACTGCTTTCCACTTGCCTAGTTTATGGTATAGAGTCGATGACAGTAAACGAGATGACAAATCTGTCACGTAGAGAAATACGAAAGGATGCAGCAAGGAAATCTAAGACATTGTAGTTAACGCCTCAGTGTCTTAGGAGCTTGGTTGGAACTATTCAGTTTCCAAGTGGTCCCCGGAACTCTAGTTGCCCACTAGTACTAGATGAGTCCTAGATTCTGAAAACGGAGAGCTAACCTAGGAACCCCCACTCATTGAGGTACTTTCTGAGCATCTAAGCCTGATCTTTGCTGCCATCTCTGCATAATCTCTACCTTGAAGCAAAGTAAAAGATGGTGTTTCAGAGGATGTTTATAAACGTGACTGCACATGTGCACACAAATGTTAAACACAAGGTTATTCATTGTGGCAGCATTTATAGAAGGAAAAGATGGGACAAACCGCAATGTCTTTGACGGAAAGACTAACTAAATTGTGGTACTTTTCTACAGTGAAACAGTTGTTCAAAAGAGTGAAGCACCTCTATCTATGAGAATATATAATATTTTGCTTGCATGCACACTTGGGGCGTATCAGAGTGACAACACAAGTAGCAGTTGTATCGGGATGGGAACTGAGATACGAGGGTCAGAGGCGGGGGAAGGCATATTGGGTGCACCCAGAACAGAGATAATACTGGAAGCAGGTGGTTCAGAAAAATCCCTAATAGGCATGGTGTTGATTTCCCCTGCCACCACCACCCCACCTGGGGTTATTTATACTATACTTCTCACTTCCTTCAACAAATATTTATTGAGCCAGATAACCATGTTAGGTGTTAGGGACCGAAGTTTAAGAAAAAACAGATGGAGGGAGAGGTAGGGGGTGGTTGTTGCCCTTGAGATGAATGCCTTTACAGTCTAGTGGGCATTAATCCCCAAGTTACACAAAATGTAAACTAGTAACTGTGGCAGTGCTACACAGAAGCTAACAGAGCCTGTTAGGAGTTTGACTTCATTTGGGAAGTCAAAGAAGGCTCCCTTGAGGGAGCGACAACTGAAAGAGATTTGAAAAGTAGGTGTTAACTAGGCAAAGAGAAGAGGGAACTGCACTTCAAGAAGAGGAATCAGCACCTGCAAACATCCCGAAACAGACAGGAGCAAAGCAAGAAGAAGGGACAGTAACAAAGCAAGTGCATCATTTATTAAGATTCTTGTTTCTTAGCTCCAAACCCAAGCTTCTATGCTCCGCTTTGTGATTTGCTGCAAAACTACATTGCTTTGCCAGCTGTTTCAGTGTTAGACTCTGCAAAAGGGAGACTGCTAGGCCGGAGGAGGAAAAAATTTCCTGTGAACATCATCCCAGCAACACATCTCCACCCTGGCAGATGCGTTTCCTTCCCATAGCAGCAGCTAGATCTGTCTGCAGTGTTTCCCACACTTGCAGAACTGGCCTCATCACACAAAACTCTCCTCCAAGACACGAGGACCAGCGAGAGCCTCCAGAGGGTCGCCCTCTAAGCTCAGAGACACTAGCACCAGCTAAGCAGAACCCCTCCTTGGAGCTTGGGGTTCAGTAACATGGGGCCCCACTTCTATGTTTCTAAATTTAAATTACACCTTTGTCCCCTTAGCCTGAGTAGTGAGAACTGCTTCCTGCAGTTGTAACCTCTCTGGTGCCTTAAAGTTCCCTTTTTACCCTTTTTGTTGCCTAGTTACCCCGTTTTATACCTAGTTAGCAATTTCTTCTTTTAAATTATCTTCATTAAATAACTGGTGTAGTTTCTGTCTCCTGTCTGAACCTTGATTGATACAGCAAATAAAAAGGAGTTACCAGTAATATTGCAAAAAGTAGATCAAGGCCATTCTCCTATAGCTGAGTTTGGACTTTATTCTGTAGGCTACAAAGAACTCAGAAGCCTGTTATGTGGAGAACTGCCATGGTTAGATTTGCATTTTAGAAGAAACACTCTGGAAGCAGGGTAGCAATGGATCTAAGAACTGGACTGCTGGTACAAAGACCAGACAGGCCAAAGAAGATAAGAACAGAACCTGAACTGGAGCAAAACTGTTGAGCAATAGAAGAAGGCTAAGTTCAAGAAGTATTTAGGCAGTAAAGCCAGCAAGACATAGTGGTTGGTTGGAAAGGGGTGACGGGGAGGGAAGAGCCTAGCACGATGCCTCAGTTTCTGACCTGGGTACTTAGGTAGACAGTGGAGCCGTAGCTGAAACTATGATCTCAGGAAGACAACAAGTCCGAAGAGGAAGGTGATGAGTTTGGCTTTAGACATGAGGAGTGTTTTGCTTATCTATTGCTATGTAACAAACGACCCCCAAATGAAATGACTTAACACAACAACTACTTTTTCATTTCTCATGATTCTGCAAATTGGGCTGGGCTCAGCTGGACAGTTCTTCTACTGCTTTTGCTAATAATCATTTGTGTGACTATAACCAACTAATGGATCAAGTGTGGGCTGGGCTCAGCTGGGATGCTGAGACATCTGTGTTTCTCTCTCTCTCCATGTGGTCTCTCCACCAGCCTCTTGGTGGTTCTTTTATAGTGGCTCGGGGATCCCAAGAACATGAAAGCAGAAACTTCTAGCTATTCTTAAATTTTAGGCTTGCAAATGACACAGTGATGTTTCCACCATATTCTGTTGGTTAACAA